TCGACTTCTTACCTTTCTCAACGTAGACATCGCTTAACTTGCATAGGGGCTTCGTCTCTTTCCAGTGCTCACCTGCTTTGGGATCTGCATCAAATGACAATTATATTTTATCGATTATGACTTTTTTTAAGCCTCGGAGAGCATTTTGAGATTCTTTTCAGCAAGCAAGTAGAGCCAAATTTATACCAAAACTTGGATTTGAATTCTGTCTACATTGAAACTCTCAGTCTCACCTTTCAAATGAACGTCCTTGAGCGCAGCTGCAAAGTGTTGTTCTGCCGTGTCCAGGTCCCCTGTCTGCAGAGCCCTGCAGCCATTTCGTAGTTCTTCGTCGTGAGTACTGTAGAAAAAGAGTTGACTTTTGCGATAGTGATCCTTTAAGAATAATGTAGCTTTAATTAGAGCTTTAGCTTTAGTGAATTGTATTCCTAACTTGACGGAGTATATGCATCTGACTTTGTTCATACTAGAGGAACCAACACACAAACCTGTCCGTGACTTCCTGTGCCTTCTCACTGCTGGTATCACGCTGAGCTCCGACCATTCTGTACAGAACCAACAACACATGGTTTTATTAAACTGAGGACCTAACAAGTCACTGAAGACGAAAACTCGGGCATGTAGCAGAATCAGGGCTGAATATTGACTGTATATTACAAACCTTCCGTAGTTTCTCCTGCCGATGACGTCACGGCTTTCTTGTACCGACATGGGAGAAGACGCCAGCTGACTTTCATTAACACCTTTCTTGTTCCGTAGTGGCTTCGTTTTCGGGCGTTTCTTTGCCTTCTGGGTTGAAAATATCATGAAGATACAGAATAAGTGTATTTTTTGTAGGCAACAATTCTTCAATAGCATACAGGGAAAAGTAGGATTTCAACCATACATTTGAACCATCAACGTAATATACTGCACACGCATATAGATAAGAATATCTAATGATAGTTTTGATTACTCAAATAAGGCTGACGATTTAAGTACATGTGTAACACCCTAAACATGTACCATAAGAAATGAGAGGAATTTTCTATGTTTGAAAGGATGTGTACATGTACTTTCTAACCTTTCGTGCTGTCTGCTCAACTTTCTCTGAGTACTTGATGCGGTGCCTCAGCGTTTCTCTGTCGTCTGAATCTTCACATCGGTCCAGCGCCGCTCGGTACAGGCCAGCTGATCTTGCAAAAGCTGCTTCGTCCTTTCCTTGCCTTCCCTTCTCTAGGTACAGGTCTCCGAGGCTCTTCAACGATTCTATTTCTAGACGATTATTTCCTTCAACTATTGCTTTAACTAAGGAGTTTGTATAACCCTCAATCAAGGGTACGACACCAAATACGTTCATGGTCTTATTTTTCATTTCGTGAAGGGTCATGGACACAGCTAATATGGTATTGCCTGAATTTGTAGCACGAGCTTTTACAATCTCTTGATCGTGCACCAGTTTCGTGCATTTCTCTGCATACTTGATACGATGCTGTACAACTTGCTTTTCCTCGATACTTGTGTAATATCGTAAGAGTTCTGTGTACATGGAACAGGCCTTGTGGAAGTTCTCTACTTTATCATTAGTGTTCGTTTTTGCTTTATGCAGGTACAAATCTCCGAGACCTTTCAAGGCTTCACACTCCAAGACCTCATTTTGACTACCGATAGCGTGAACCAACTTCCGTGCATAACCGCTCTCAACAACGTCCAGATCAGAACCAGTTTTAAAGATAAAATCAAGTTCCCGAAATTCGTCCACCACTGCAGACAGTTTGGCGTTCACCTTTGCCATGTTGTGTGGCGTATGCGTTCGATCTTTGCTCTTCTATGCAGATCTAAAACGATGTAGATTGTATATGAATGAATGAATGAAGTTTATTGCTCGACAATCGTACATGGTGCAATGTGTGGCGGTAAGACAAAACTAAACAATCTTACATTTCTTTCTACAAACTACTATCGATACAGTACATTAGGTACATATATAGAAAATATCCTTGATTTATGGGAGATCTAGATGAGACAAAGGTGATTTTTCATTATTTTGTGGGGGGAGCTCGAGGGTAGTCGTGAAAGGCAAGAAACACATTTCTGTTTATACGTCGACTTAATCCCCGCTTTGTTCGCAGTACATATGTAAAATGTTCGGCGAAACTTTCAGCTGTATGCTGTACCGCTAATGACTAAGGTTAGTGGCCTGATTTATGTAAAAACTCACCTTTTAGCTTCCACGAGAGATAAAACTGTCGGCCTCAGTTCGCGACTGCCACGAAAGCGGAAGTCCCCGACATGACCCCACCTTTATGGGGGGGGATTCCCCTTGGAATGTTTCATTTACCAACAGGGGTGATACAGGTGAGGGGTTGTAGTAAAAACAGCTGGATGATAAGAACTACATAACCCTTAATATATATATATGTATATATATATATATATCTGTGTGTGTGTGTGTGTTAGATAGGTGATTGTTGAAGTAAAAAAAATCAGTTGTCACCCTTCAAATAACCATTTAAAAGAAATTGCCAATATCATTTTATAAAAAAAAGTGCTCCATGTATAACTGCTTGCTGTAAAACATAATCTTGAGGAGACACAAAGTTCTTCAGGAGAGTGTCAATGTCAGGGTCTATTAGTCTCTTCGAGTATCTGCTTCACCCGTTTCGACTCCTCATAGTAGGATATAGCCTTTCTGTAATCACCAAGCAAACCGTAGGCAACACACAAGCTGTTAAGTGACGAGGCGATGTCAGAATGTGCGTTGCCCTCACCATAGATACTCCGCTGCATCTGTAGTGTCTGTTCATAATAGCTGACGGCCTTTCTGTAATCACCAAGCTTACCCCAGGCGGCACCCAAGTTGTTAAGTGACAAGGCAATATGAGGATGTGCGATGCCCTTACTATAGACACTCTGCATCATCTGTAGTGCTTGTTCGTGATAGCTGACGGCCTTTCTGTAATCACCAAGGTTGTCCCAGGCGGTTCCCAAGTTGTTTAGTGACGAGGCGATGTAAGGATGTGCGTTACCCTCACCATGGATACGCCGCTTCATCTGTAGTGCCTGTTCATGATAGCTGACGGCCTTTCTGTGATCACCAAGGTTACCCCAGGCGTTACCCAAGTTGTTAATTGACGAGGCGATGTCAGGATGTGCGATGCTCTTACCATAGATACTCCGACTCATCTGTAGTGTCTGTTCATAATAGCTGACGGACTTTCGGTAGTCACCAAGGTCACTCCAGGCCGCACCCAAGTTGTTAAGTGACGAGGCGACGTCAGGATGTGTGACGCCCTTACCATAGATACTCCGCCTCATCTGTAGTGCTTGTTCATGGTAGCTGACGGCCTTTCTGTAATCGCCAAGGTTACTCCAGGCGGTACCCAAGTTGTGAAGTGACGAGGCGATGTCAGGATGTGTGATGCCCTTACCATAGATACTCCGCCTCATCTGTAGTGCCTGTCCATGATATCTGACGGCCTTTCTGTAATCACCAAGGTTACTCCAGACTGCACCCAAGTTGTTAAGTAACGTGGCGACGTCAGGATGTGCGACGCCCTTACCATTGACACACCGACTCATCTGTAGTGCCTGTTCACAATAGCTGACGGCCTTTCTGTAATCACCAAGGTTCATCCAGGCGGCACCCAAGTTGTTAAGTGACGTGGCGACGTCAGGATGTGCGACGCCCTTACCATGGATACTCCACTCCATCTGTAGTGCTTGTTCATGATAGCTGACGGCCTTTCTGTAATCACCAAGGTTACTCCAGGCGGCACCCAAGTTGTTAAGTGACGACGCGATGTCAGGATGTGCAATGCCCTTACCATAGATACACCGCCTCATCTGTAGTGACTGTTCGTGGTAGCTGACGGCCTTTCTGTGATCACCAAGGTTCGTCCAGGCGGTACCCAAGTTGCTAAGTAACCCGGCGATGTCGGGATGTGAAGTGCCCTTACCATAGACACTCTGCATCATCTGTAGTGCCTGTTCATAACAGCTGACGGCCTTTCTGTAATCACCAAGGTTAACCCAAGCGGTACCCAAGTTCATAAGTGACGAGCCGACGTCAGGATGTGCGTTACCCTCACCATGGATACGCCGCTTCATCTGTAGTGCTTGTTCATAATAGTTGACTGCCTTTCTGTGATCACCAAGGTGATACCAGGCGTTACCCAAGTTGTTGAGTGACGAGGCGATGTCGGGATGTGCGATGCCCTTACCATGGATACGGCGCCTCATCTCTAGTGCCTGTTTATGGTAGATGGCTGCCTTTCTGCGATCACCAAGGCCACTCCAGGCAGCACCCAAGTTGTCAAGTGATGTGGCGATATCAGGATGTGCAGTGCCATCACTAACAATACGTCGCATCATCTGTAGTGCCTGTTCATAATAGCTGACGGCCTTCCTGTAATCACCAAGGTGACTACAGGCGTCACCCAAATTGTGAAGTGACGACGCAATATCATGATGTGCACTACTCTCACCGTGCCTTGATTGCTCCTTTCGGAGTTGCTGTTCAGTGCATGCCTTTGAGTTATTGTAGTCATACAGACTTTCATATACAGAAGCTTGTAGTGTTAAAGAGTTGTCGTAAAGAACAGAGGGCTGTTCTAGTGGTTTGTGATTGCTAAGCTCCGGAACAAAGTACTTTAACGGTGTCGCGGTGTAGTAGTATCTCATGAGCTGTTTTATATTGGAGAAGTAAAATATTTTTTTTGTTCTCTCCTCAATGTCATCATTGAGTGATATTGACGATAAAACTGACATGTTTTCCACTTGACCGCGGTTGTTCATGTAAGTACGCAGCCTCAACTCTGCCGAGATGCTGACAAGGACCATCAAGTGATGTGCGTTCTCATCACAGATCGTTCCCTTTTCGTGCATCTTCTGGATAGTCTCCCAGATTGTGGTTGGCTGGATGTCACAAAGTAGCGCCCAACAAGACACTGCAATGCTTGAAAAGCGGTAAATTTCTTTCTTTACATCCAGCATCCGGCCAGTGGGATCGTGCTTTGCAAATGTTTGGACATTCTCCATCAACATAATGTTTGCTATTAGCTTTGCAATTTTACTTCCATTTTTCTTCAGTTGCTGATCCCATGCAGTTGTGTATTCATCGACCAGGCCTTGGTCCCCAGTAATCAAAGAAACATTTCCCAGGACACTCGCTAGGTGGTAGCCTTTCTTCAGATGGAGCGTAACGTCATCTTCCAGAACTTTGGCCATGTCACATGGTGTGCGGATAAGGTGACACGTTTTACCTCTGCCTAGTGGGGTTTTACATGCATGCGGCATTGCTCCATCGAACGAAAACCCACGCGGCGTTACAGAGTCGTAGAACCAGTTGTTTGGCTTATCATCTGATTCGAAGTCATTGAGAGACTTGATGGCCATGGCCGGGAGAATCGTTTCTCCAAGATTGATCACTTTCAGGTGAAGGTAGTGCGTGAGATTGTGAAAATACTTCACACTGTTTTCGGTGTCCCTTTCTATCAAAATAGCAAACTCCAGATCAGAGTATGGCGTTACCAATCCTGTGGCGTGTGAACCCAGGCCTATCATAGCGTACTTACAGGGAGGAGGACCCATTTCCTCCATACACTCGTCTACAAGGCCAGTTATGAATGTTCGTCGCTTATGAACAATGGTGTCAAACAATGCTTTGTTTGCTTCCACTCTCTTCTTCTCTACTTCCCTGATTTTGGGGTCGTTGTCATCAAGACTATAAGGATCTATCTGTTGCTCGATTCTTTTGATCTCTTGTTCCACAAAGCGGCGACAATCTGTTAACATCGATTTGTGTTTCTCCACGTCGTCGATGGGCACCGGTTTAGTGGTATTTAAGACATGGTTAACAAATGACTGGGTTATCTTAAGGGTTGTTTGTTTGATCTCCTCTCTGTCTTCCATCTTTGCTCTGACCAGTGCTGCGTTACTGAGCGCCGCAGCCTTGGTGAAGTCTCCTCCGTCTTTCGACTTCTTACCTTTCTTAACGTAGACATCGCTTAACTTGCATAGGGGCTTCGTCTCTTTCCAGTGCTCACCTGCTTTGGGATCTGCATCAAATGAAAATTATATTTTATCGATTATGACTTTTTTTAAGCCTCGGAGAGCCTTTTGAGATTCTTGTCAGCAAGCAAGTAGAGCCAAATTTATACGAAAACTTGGATTTGAATTCTGTCTACATTGAAACTCTCAGTCTCACCTTTCAAATGAACGGCCTTGAGCGCAGCTGCAAAGTGTCGTTCTGCCGTGTCCAGGTCCCCTGTCTGCAGGGCCCTGCAACCCTCTCGTAGTTCTTCGTCGTACGTACTGTAGAAAAAAAGTTAGAATAATGTAGCTTTAACTGGTGAGATTTGTATAACTCGACTGAGTAAGTATCTAACTTTGTCCATACTCTGTCCATACTAGAGGAAACAACACACAAACCTGTCCGTAGATTCCTGTTCCTTCTCACTGCTGGTATCACACCAAGTTCCGCCTTCTCCGACCTTCATCCTGTAGACACCAACACATGTTTTTATAATTATAATTATAAAACTGCAATGCTCTGACTGACCTTAAACAATTCACCGAAGAAAAACTCAGCCCTAAAGTGTAGATTCTGCTACATGGCCGAGTATTGACTGTAGTCGCTGCACATTACAAACCTTCCATACTTTCTCCTGCCGATGACGTCATGACTTTCTTGAGCCGACATGGGAGAAGACGCCAGCAGACTTTCAGTTCCACATTTCTTGTTCCGTAGTGGTTTCGTTTCCGCGCGTTTCTTAGCCTTCTGGGTTGAAGATATCATGAATAAGGGCAGAATAAGTGTATTTTTTGTAGGCAACAATTCTTCAATAGTATATAAGGAAAAGTAGGATTTCTACCATACATTTGATTACAAATAAGGCTGAAACACACTAAAATATACCATAGGAAATGAGAGAATTTTTTAATGATTAAAAGGAAGCGTATATTATAATTTCTAACCTTTCGTGCTGTCTGCTCAACTTTCTCTGCGTACTTGATGCGGTGCCTCAGCGTTTCTCTGTCGTCTGAATCTTCACAGCGGTCCAGCGCCGCTCGGTACAGGCCAGCTGATTTTGCCAAAGCTGCCTTTTCTTTGCCTTCCCTTCCCTTCTCTAGGTACAGGTCTCCGATGCTCTTTATCGATTCTATTTCTAGACGTTTATTTCCTTCCACTATTCCTTTAACTAAGGCGTTTGTATAACCCTCAATCAAGGGTATAACACCATATCCTTTCATTTCATGAAGGGTCATTGACACAGCCAATATGGTATTGCCTGAATTTGTAGCACGCGCTTTTACAATATCTTGATCGTGTACCAGTTTCGTGCATTTCTCTGCATACTTGATACGATGCTGTACAACTTGCTTCTCCTCAACACCTGTGTAATATCGTAAGAGTTCTGTGTACATAGAACATGCCTTTTGGAAGTTCTCTACTTTATCATCAGTGTTCGTCTGTGCTTTGTGCAGGTACAAGTCTCCTAGACCTTTCAAGGCTTCACACTCCATGACCTCATTTTGACTACTTATAGCGTGAACCAACTTCCGTGCGTAACCCCTCTCTACAACATCCAGACCTGAACCAGTTTTAAATATAAGATCTAGTTTCCTAAATTCGTCCACCACCGTAGACAGTTTGGTGTTCACCTTTGCCATGTTGTGCGGCGTATGCGTTCGACCTTTGCTCTTCTACGCAGATCTAAAACGATGTAGAAAAAATGCGGTAATTTTTCACCAGTGTCCTCGCATCGCATATATATAATACGCCTGGAATGGGACAAGTAAATCAGGTAATAGTTAAAAATCAAACATTCGTATGCGCATGCATCTTCTCAAACCTTCTTAGTACGGTACGATCGACTTGGAAAGCACCCCCCCCCCCATTGTAGTTGCATTGCGTCATGTGACCGAGGCAAGTAAAACTAGCTAACTGCCAGTATAAGTCTTTGCCCTCCTACAGCTGGCACCAGTGAATGAAGAATTATGAAATGTGTACCCACAACAGTGCTCACTCGAATGTACATGTATAAATGTTTCATTGGGAAAACGGTAGATTTAGAGGGGACAAAGGTGATGATTTTTCACTGTTTAGTTTGGGGAGGGCAGCCGTGCGGTTAGGCCAGCAAATCAAGCAACACAGTGTTACATCGACTTTATCCCCACTACTTTATCCCCACTATGTTCGAAGCTGTCAGCTGTATGTTGTACCGTTAACGGTAAAAGTTAGTGGCCTGATCTATGTAAAAACTCACCTTTTAGCTTCCACTAGACTAGAGATAAAACTGTTCGCGACTGCCACCTGTGAAAAGCGGGTAACGGCTTCATTTAAGTTGTCCCGAGTATGCAAATAAGTATATTAACATGTAACACATTAAGAAATTTGGAAATGTGGAAATCATATTATTTTTTTGCTCGCCTTGTCTTTTTTTTTGCCTATCGCCTTAGATTTTTAGTCTGTGGAGGATGTCATCCATAAAATTTACCTGCTGTGGCCTTATGATCCGGTAGTGTATTCCGTATTCCGATGAATAGCCCCACAAGGCACAATATACACCACTCTTCGAGTACAAAGAACGCTTTCCATGAAGGGAATGGCAATTAACAACCTTAGCTATCTTTAGCTGTGGCTATTTGGGGCACAGTTGGACGTATTTCGCTGCTACTACCAGTGGTCTTACGTATAGCCCTACAACATACAACACTACCAGCAACATGAGCCCGATTCAAGAGTCGCCACGGCTATACCCAGGCTACTCGTTGCATTTGTAACAGTTATCGTCGTATTTACGACATCAATGTAGCATAGCAGGTCGTTAATGAAGATTTTTTATCGGACTCACCCTCTGAGAGCACAGTAGAGACGGGTTCCGATCAGCTCCCCCTAACACTGAGAGCCGAGGTCCCGGATTGTGGAACTTCGTAGTACATGTATATTAATGTCCTTGGTATCCAGAACACGGTGCTGTATCCCAAAACATGCTCAGGGATAATGTTGGGTAGTCCTCACGTATCCAGAACCGTACCTCAACTTAATCCTAAATTCATGCAGACACAAAACTAGATAGGCGGCGGTTCTGAATCAAGGTGTGGGGGAGGGGCGCTGTACATGTGCCGCAGCCGGTGTTGCAGGGCTCGAAATTAAAGGTGGTCCAATGGCCACTGACCCCTAAAATTTAGGCTGGGACAACTAAAAAGACACTTTGGGACATTTTTTGGGCAATAGAAAAATTATCAACATCAGGATGTCACTGCCCTTCTTTTGTTTATCAAGCACACATCCCGGCTTTTGGCTCCGGGAAAGTCCCCCGTGAGTTTCCTGTCTACCCTGCAATTATAGTGCGCATGGGAGTCAGAACTTAAGCAAAATAAAGTTGACTTCAAATTGAACTTCAAGTTATACAATACTTCCCGAAAAACAGGTTGGGACAGTTCATCCTCACTTCCGGACATTTGAAATTTATTTTTGGGACAGTGCTGTAGTTAATTTCGAGGCCTGTGTTGTATAGCCAGTATAGCAAATGTATAGCCAGAAACACGCGACCAAAACACAAATATATTCACATGCTAATCACGTTGTATGAACCAGACGTAGTGATGATAAAGGTGTCAATAGACGCAACGTTTAAGGTTTAAAACTTAGCAGGTTAAACCATCTAGGTGTAAGCCTGCATAATGATATGCAAATTTGTAAAAAAAGTGTTTATGTTTTGCAGGGCTCGAAATGTATTTTTGAGAATAGCCTGCACTGGTGCACCCAACCTAAAAAATTGGGTGCACAGAAAATATTTTGGGTGCACCATATAAGATAAAATAAGAATGTCAACAAAAACTAATTACAAACTAACTATTTCATAAGAAAGTATCATAACAATGATTCTATTATGTTTCTAACACTTAGATGTTAAGAATATGCTGTATACTACAATACATTTAACATCATACGTACGAAAATATTTGGGTGCACTGGTGCACCCACATGAAAAATTGGGTGCACAGCTCCAAATTTGGGTGCACTAAGGTGCACATGCACCCAGTATTTCGAGCCCTGTCTTGCGACGACGATCCGTACATGATAGACAAAAACTGAGAAATGATAATTAACGTATACCAAAGATACTAGGAAGCCAATATATGTACAACAAGCAACCAAATTTTATTCCACTGCAACTACATCGCAACATAGCCACTGAGAATATAATACAAATTACAGAACATGCGTCAATTTGCAACTAACTACAGAAAATGGCAATTTGCAACTAGCTACTGGAGTCGATGCGTATATGGGCTACATTACACGAAAAAAGAGCAAAGAGCTCCATAGCGAA